CGTCACTGTCACCGTCACCGTCATAATCACCAGTCACTGTTACCGTCACCGTCACCGTCATCGTCACCGTCACCGTCACCGTCACCAGTCACCAGTCACCCGCTATCTGATGGTAGCGGGTGACTGGCGGTGTGCCGGTCCGGTGCCGCCACCTCAGCGCGGGGCCAGGACCTGGTGTCGTCCCGTCCGCCCGGTGGTGTGTGGTAATGCTGGCTCGTCACGGGGGACGGGCTCAGGGGGAGGGGTGACACGCTCCACCGGTGGGTGCTTGTGGGCAATCGTGGACGCGACTTTTCGGAGCTTGCGGGTGAAAAGTGAATGCGTCGGCGAGCTTGGATCGTGCGGTGGCGTACCAAGGAAAGAAGGTGCTGAAATGAGTCGGATTTTTCGGTCCTCTTTTAGCAAGGAATCTGGGCGGGTTTCCAGCTGCAGTACAATCCCTTACTAGGGAGGTAAAAATGTGCATTGCTGTAGAGCATTAGAAGCGGGTCCACCTTAAAGTGGTTTGCGCTCTGTTAAGTTATCATGCGCTCTGCACTGGTATGCACCTAGGCTCTCTAAGTCGGGTTGCTGTAAACACGGCCCAGTTTTTGTTCTTTCGGCTTCGTGGTAGAGCAAGCAAAGGCACTTTTATGTTCTTCTAAGTAATACCATTACACATGCTGTTAAAGCTGGACTGAGTCTGTCGGTAACTGGGCCTGAGCGCTGACGACAAGGACTCTGTCGAGACAGACCAACGGGTGTAACCAGGCGCCAGTCAACTCCCATGGCTGTCCCCTTCCTCTGCAGTTCCCGCTGCCGTTCTGTGTCAGTAACCGAACGCGGCGCACACAGCGGCGCTGTGATCCGCCGCATCTGCCTGCGAGCGCCACTGAAGGCCCTGAAGCCGTTCCGGAGCGCGGGGTCTGCTCTGGCGGGGTCATGGCCCCTGCCCGTGACCGGGTCATGACAGCCACGCCGGCGGGGTGGGGCCTTCCTCATACCGGGGTCGCCTGTGAGTGTTGCGGTGCAGTGGTGACGCGCAGAACTCTTTTAAAGAATGGAAAAAGGCATGTTTCGTGCTTGCACGACCTTACCGGAAAGACTCAGCGAGGCGGAGCCCACGAATCATTTTGTACCTGCTCATGAGAAGGACGATGATGCGGCGGCGGCGGCGACGTCTGACGTGTGTAGCCTCACGCTCGTTGTTGACGCGTTCAGCCCGCTCGACCGCGGAGTCTCGGCCAGAGCGGAGACGCGACCGCCCAGCCAGCGTTCTGCCCTGTTTCCCCGCAGATCTGTGACCGACTGGAACGCTGAATGATGAGCCGAACTGAGCCGGCGGCGCGGCGCCGGGCCGGGCCGGGTCGAGCCGGGCCGGGCCGAAGCCGGGCCGAGCCGGGCCGGACTGGGCTGGGCTGGGCTGGGCTGGGCTGAGCTGAGCTGGGTTGAGGTCGCTCCAGCGATCGAGCGCGGCAGGTTGTCTGCATTGGGTGGTGCCCGCCCCGGCGGGCGGCTCAACTGCGATCCCATCCCCGCCACTGTCGGGACGGGTGCGGTGGCGCCAGGCGGCGGCGTCAGGCACGGCTGACGCCCCGGCCTCTGGCGCCCCGGCCTCGGGCGCCACCGGCGGATGTGCTCTGACGAGCGACGCGGCCGAGCCTGTGGCGTCCGTCTCGGCAGCAATGTCAGCGTTAGGCGCGGTTCGAACTTGTGGCGCCCGTCTCGGCAGCAATGTCAGCGTTAGGCGCGGCCGAGCCTGTGGCGTCCGTCTCGGCAGCAATGTCAGCGTTAGGCGCGGTCGAACCTGTGGCGCCCGTCTCGGCAGCTGGTGCCAGTATCGGGCACGGCCGAGCCTGTGTCGCCCGTCCCGGCAGCGGTGTCAGCGTTAGGCGCGGTCGAACCTGTGGCGCCCGTCCCGGCAGCGGTGCCAGTATCGGGCACGGCCGAGCCTGTGTCGCCCGTCCCGGCAGCAGTGTCAGTGTCGCGCACGGCCGAGCCTGTGTCGCCCGTCCCGGCAGCGGTGTCAGCGTCGCGCACGGCCGAGCCTGTGGTGCCCGTCTCGGCAGCGGTGTCAGGGTCAGGCGTGGCCGCCGGCTGCTGATGCGTGCCGGCCGCAGTCCAGAAGCAGGCGTTCGGCGCTAAACTGGCATTGGCCGAGTGCTCGGATATCTCAACGTTTGCAGTCGCACACATCCCGCCACCATGGATTCCCAAGCGGGTCCTCTCGATTAATATCTTGCCATCCGGGCCGCAGCCTGGGAAGCCCTGGCGGTCCGTCCGGGCCGCAGCATGAAAACTTGTGATTATACAGTACTTTCAGCCGGTCCTAAATCAGTATCGGCGGTACTGGAGCGGCGCCTTATCTGGGAATGTCGGCACGTAGTCGCAACCAGGAAATATGTACCTGTGTTTTACGCATAAAGCAGGTAAATGTTTCAGTGCCAGTCCAACCTTTCCGGCTTTTGGCTTGCACCCCTACATACAGGCCGGTCCGACACAGGCATGGCGCCAGACTTCGGTAAGGTCGGGCCGACAGCGGATCATGGCTCGGTCGCCGGCCGCCGGCCTCCGGCCGCTGGACCGGGGCCGCTATCGATGCCTCGTCCGGTGCCGGCCCGACACCCGGCCGGCCCGGCCGCACGCCGCGCCGACGACGGCGGCCTCGGGTCACTGGCCGCCGGTCAGCAGGGAACTTTGCTAGGTCAGCGGGGACTCGCGGACCGGTGTAGGATTGAGGACGCACCCCGTCTTGCCGGTTGTCGTCGGTGTCTTGCAGATCATCTGACTCGGTTTGCTCGGATGCATGTCCCCGCTGAGGGACATGTCAAAATAAAGTCACCACATTTTCAGTTGGCTGCCCTGCAGTGCCGGATTCTGCGGCGATGACGGGGTGGCCCTGGCCGACTTCGAAGCATCGCAGTCAGCACAGTCGCTAGCGCCGCGGCTTCATGCCAGATGGGCAAGCTAACCTGGTCCGGGCGACTGCGACATGACACGCCTCCGCTGCTAACACCTTCACAGAAGCGGCGACGGCCTCGGAGCCCGACGGATCGGGACGTGGGACGTGGCTGGAGTGTTTGTGTGAGGATACAGCTGTATGCAGCGTGTGCGGATCGTCGCGGAAGTATGTGCGCGCACAAACATTTAGTGGCGTGTCTGTACACAAGTAGGTGCGTGCGGCAAAACACGGGCGGGTGCGATGCTTCTCACTCGTAACCTTCATTTCACGGGTCACGTTAGAGAACGCAGAAGAGTGCCCTCAGTATGTGGTCGTACTTCGCAGCGATCGCTGCAACGAATTTTTTGTATTGCTCCGACAGATTTTTCCCAAAAAGGACAGCTTGCAAATTTATCATCGGGGCAATGGGGTGTGTTTGGCGGATCGTCGGTCATCCATCTTTCGATGATGTTCAGCCCTGGACAATGGGGATCCCAGTGCGCTCACGTCATGTGGCCTGATCCCCATCTCGCGGTGACGCACCTGCGGCCACTGAAGCACGCGCGGAGAACACGCACACTTGCTCGGTACAGCGGTGCACGCCTTACCGAAACGTCAGCACTTCTGCTCTCCCGGTGAAGCCGGGGCGAACCAGCCTCAGCGCCGGCTCACGCCGCTCCGGTGCACCTTCCGGTGAAGTCGGGGCGTACCGTGCCAGCGTCGGCGCTGGATCACGCCGCTCCGGTGCACCTTCCGGTGAAGTCGGGGCGAGCCGTGCCAGCCTCAGCGCTGGATCACGCCGCTCCGGTGCACCTTCCGGTGAAGTTGGGGCGAGCTGTGCCAGCCTCGGTGCCGGATCACCGGCTCCGGCGGTGACGTCGTAGGCCGCTCGACGCACGGGCATCGGTGATGTTCGCCGTATCGGTGCGCAAACATTGATAGCATAAACATCCGTGGTCGTATGTGGTCGGCAGTGTTGACGCCGCGGCTTGGCGCTTTAGGCTGGGAGCGGACAGCCGTATCGGGTCTTCGGCCTGGTCAGTCAGCGTCGGTCGTCACCGCCGGCGCGGCACTGACCTTCCCTCCCCCAGGCTCGCTCGTCAGCGGCGGGCATCCATTCACACCGGATGGGATCGGTTCCTTTCTCATCGGAAGGCTGCGCGGCCGCGTTGCCGGGAGGTGCGGCCGCTCGGCTCGGCTGGACGGCTAGAAGGGCCGCTCGGCGGTCGGCCGGGAGCACGCGCATGCGGAGACCCGACACCGGACCCGGGGGCCGGCATCGCCTCCAGGAATATACGGGCGCGCGGGGCCGGTGTTGAGCGGCGCACCTGCCACGGCGCTGCCGCTGTCCGACCCCCCGTGTCGGGGCCGAGCGGCACTCCGATGCGACCCCCGCAGCTGTGTGCGTCGTCTCGGCAGGGGGCAGCGCCCGCTGGGGGACGGCCGCCGAGAATAGTCCGTACCAGCAGTGCGTCGGATACGTCTCGGGGGAACTGCGCTGGATTTGTCGGCGGCCGAGGTCGGGTGCTTGTGATGGCAGATTGAATCCACTCGCTTAAAGACGCATGTCGTTGTCACCTGTGGCAGGACCACCGGGAGATGTGAGGCAATTGAAGGCACATGAAACACCTAAGGTGGAACCTTTCGTCGGATGGTGTTTTCCGAAGCTAGTTGCTTCCATTAAGCGTTAGATGGAACAGTAGTATTTGGCGCGAGCGATCCATGAGAACGATCATCGGCAAGAAAAAGATAACGGTTCTTGAGATGAGTTGGTGTCGGCGTTTACGACTTTTTGCCAGCGTGCTTTGCTTTATGTCAACTTGATGTTTCCCTGCTGTTTCCGCGGGGCGGTATTTACACTTTTTTTTAAAATTTTGCCGAAAGATTATATGGATCGTCGATCTGGAACATGTGGACAAGTTGTGGTCGGATCTGGAGTGTGCATTTAGCTATGTTCGCGAGCGACATTTAGGTGGCATTTTGTACAACAGTGGCACATGAGATGCGACGCCGCCACAGTGTCAGAAAGAGAAGCGTGAACTCGTCAGTCTTCTCACCAGAAGCCTCTGATGTCCCACAGATACGACGAGGGAAACGATGGCTTCCTGGACTTGGAGGAGCTGAAGAAGATGATGGAGAAGTTGGGAGCGCCGCAGACGCACATCGGCCTGAAGCAGATGATCCGCGAGGCCAATGAGGACGAGAACGTCACTAAGATCGGCTTCAGAGCGGTAAGATCAGCCTCCGCCCTGATAATCAAGCGCCCCGACGATACCTCTGGTGGTAACGACGTTTTCCAGCAATGGACAGCTCAAACGGTATTAGAACTTCCCGACGCTGGGCACGGCTTTGAGGCCCCTTTTGCTAAGTAGCAAGCATCGAGCGTTGTGCTAGATACTGCTCGCTTTGTCCTCGGCGCAAATTTGTGGCCTAGCAGCATTCAGACTGATTCAAGGGAACCCCTCTTGACAGCTGTGGGTAATTTCTGGACGCCCGTGACCGCCGCCTCAGCCTTTGCTGTTGAGTGAGCTGTTCTTCACAGAGCCGTTGCTTTGTGATGGTATGTGTGATATCTGTTGGCTCTGCCCTCGGCGGTGGCTTTGCGGTCAAGCAACAATCCGTCTAATTCATGGGGTCTCCCTCCTCCTCTTGACAGCCACGGGTGATATCCCGAGACCCATGACACGAACTGTCGCACCAGCCTGTCTGAGCGGCTAACGTTCCCTGCCGGCCGGCAGTTTCTGACCGTGTTCCGCCGGGCGGCGGCCGGCGAACTGACGGCTGACTCGGGCCTCAGTCAGCTGGCTAAGCTCACCGAGATCGACGTCGATGAAGTGGGCGTGGCTGGCGCCAAGCAGTTCTTCCAGGCCAAGGTGCGTCCGCGCGGTGGCGAGCGCCGGTTGGAGGGCCGGCGCCGTTCAAAGGGCCCACGCTGTTCAAAGGATCAACGCCTGTGGGATAGCTGGTGCCGGTCGGAGGTCCGGCGCCGTTCAAAGAGTCAACACTGGTGGGATAGCTGGTGCCGGTTGGAGGGCCACCGCTGGTCGCAGGACCACTACCGGTCGGAGTGCCGGCACCAGTTGGAGGGCCAGCATCGGTCGGTGGGCTGGCGCCCGTTTTCATCATGCTCTCGTACTGAGTAACAACATGATTTTGCCTGGAAAGATACGTTATGAAACATTTTGAGTTCTCATGTGCTGCGTTTTGGTCTGTACAGCAGCCGGTTCACAGTCAGATCGTCGGCGAGTCAGTATCACTCATCTGTTCGTTGGTGTGTCAGTGTTACCCATCTGCGCGCGGTGTGAGCCCGGTGTCGCTGGACAGCTGCGGCCGGACGCTTCCGCCGAGCTGTACCTGCCCTGTTCCTCGACAGATCTCGGAGCTGGAGCGCGACAAGAACTTCCTGGAGGAGATCCGCCGCGAGGAGGAGGAGCGCCAGCGACAGGAGCAGGAGCGGCGCGAGCGCAAGGCCGAGTTCAAACAGAGGGCGGCACTGTTCAACCACGCCTAGCTCAGGTGGCGCTACCGTCGGGATGCGTGACGGGAAGTGCACTCGTGGAGAGCGTGTGATAAGCAATGCGGTGTTTATCTTACTGTGTTTTTGGGAGGGGAAGGTGCAAATTTAAATGAAAACGGACATGTAGCTCTGATGGTGGTTTTGGTGTGTGTGCTTGCGTGAGTTGCTGCTTTTTTCCTCAAGTTTTATCTTGCGAGTTTTTCTTATTTTCGCTTTCAGTGTTTTAATGTCAAAGCTATTTCAAATTATCGTGTTTATTTTTTAAGCAACCGTAGATGTTAATGCGTAGCATTCATCCATAGGGTCATACGAATGCGTGCTGATGGCGAATGAATTGCATAACCCAGTGTAGGCGGAAACAGTCCAAGCTTGTGCGCATGTTCCGTGAATGCTGAAGTGTTGATTAAAACCCGAGTAGCTGCGCCTGTGGGTCGGATTTGAGCGAGTGCAAACTAGAAGCGCTATGGTGTTAGTAACGACTCAACGTGCATCAGCTCATAACAGTAGACATTAGATGAACTCGCCGCATAGCTGAATTAGACATATCGGTAAATATCCGCCTGTGTAATGTGCCTTGTGTCTGCGTAGTGGCCCTAGTAGTAGTTATATATTTGATGCTGAGTCTAATTTGGAGCTGGTTAAATTGTGATGTTCATTTGTGATGTGGTGCTCATGCGTTTGTGGTCAGAGCTTCTGTGCGATCTGCATGACGATCAAATACAGTTGTAACAATATCGCGCCTTTAATTTCCCCCACAAGCACCCGACGCGCGTTGAGCACTGATGCACGCCCAGATTTGCACACCGCAAAGCAGGCACGCCGCAGAAAATGCCGTACGCAAGTCACATTCATTAAGGCTAGGCCATTGGAGATCAGGCTGTTCCTGTGGTTGCACAAGTGGGTAAGTAGTGGGACGGGCTTACACAGGTCGGGGCCGTTCATTAGATGCTTGGAGCATTTATTAAAAATTTGGAAAATCGTTTGACAGCGACGTCCAGTTACGTATGACACGCAAGTATCCATCGCCGCCAGTTCACCACCACCCGGCCCCATGTCCAAGTTCACCACCCACCACCAGGTCCTGTGTCCAAATTCACCGCCCACCACCTGGTCCCGTGTCTAAGTTCGCCGCCCACAACCAGGCCCCATGTACAAGTTCACCACGCACCACCAGGTCCCGTGTCCAAGTTCACCACCCACCACCAGGTCCCGTGTCCAAGTTCACTACCCACCACCTGGTCCCGTGTCCCAGTTCGCCACCCACCATCTGGTCCCGTGTCCAAGTTCACCACCCACCACCTGGTCCCGTGTCCATGTTCGCCGCCCACCACCTGGTCCTGTGCTTAGTCCGAGCGACTGCCTCTCGGACGGCGCCAGCAGCGCCATCTTTATCTGTGACCTGTCATCCCCCGTTCGTGTGGCGCCTGCAAATCTCTTTTTGCAGATTTGTCAACGTGCTCGCCTTTTTCCGCGCCTGCATACCAGAAGGTAGCTGTCTTTTCTCTCATGGTATCGCCTAGCAAATCTCCGCGTTCGCGTGCGTTCCTGTCCACATTTAGGGTTCTAAAACCAACGAACAAACAGCACTCATTCGCTATTGCTCTCGAAAATTCATTTCGATACAAAATTCGGTACAATAAGCGCATCGTAAAGCGGGGTGGTCACTACAACACCAACAACTAGCGCCGCACATCCCCTAGTGGCGGCGGCAGCTAAACATGTCGCCCCGGCGACGGCCAGATGTCACCACCGGCGGCGGCGGGGCACCGTGTACTCCCAGGGCGCCCGCCGCTCGCCGCCGCTCCCAAAACAGCCAACAACCCGACATCGTTGAACAGACAGCTGACCGCGCAGGTCTGCGGAGGGCCCGCGCCGGCGGCGCGCGTGACGGGGCGCCAGCGTCGCTGGACTACGGCCGCCCCGGGCGCCGTCACCCCCACAGAGCGCTATCACAGGCGGCCACTATCACAGTGCGCCGGCGGACAGGCGACACGCGCAGGCGGCTGGCGCGCGGCGCAGCGCCGGCGCCGGGGGCCGCTACGTGCCGCTCCTCTGGGCGCTCGGCTGCGACACGTCGTCCCCGAAAGCCGCCTCCGCGTCCTCCTGGTACAGGCCGTCCTCGCCGCCGGACGCGTCCCTGTCGGCGGCAGGGAGCTGTCAGTGGCGGCAACACACAACTGGAATCCGACGACGCCCCTCAATGACGGGCAACCAGACCGAGTGTGGGCCAACGCAGTACAGGTAAATCGCTCAATGCACGTTTTTGCTCTTATTTCGGTAGTCTGCTTCCATTAATTACAATGTTTTGATCGGTTACTCCGTTTAACTGGCAGGTACACCAGGTCCAACACGCATTCTCCATTGTCGGCACAACACAACGGTCCCTCCGACGAGCCGCCAAGGTCACAACTAAGCACTTGAGTGCAACCCCAGTGATACGAGTTGGACTTCCGGCTGGTTGTTCAGTTGTACGGATAACGCCGGCAGTTGTTGAAGTTGTGCGATAAGGCACGGATAAGACCCACAGGAAAAGCACACCACACGGCAGCACGCCGGGACCGTCCGGGGAAAACTGCCGCCGGTAGACTAACACGTCGGCTGGCACCCCGGTTGGCAGCCCTCTCACGAGCGGCCGCCGGGCGGCCCCGGCCGCTCGCCCGGCAGCGGGAGCCGGCGGAATTTTCCATGGCGTGCCAGGCGGTGCGTGACGTCAGGGGAGGCCGGCGCCGACCCGGCCGCGGCACAAGGCCACCCGTGTCAGGGACCCCGGCCTGGCCCGTGCGGGGCCGCTGCGCAGTACTGTCTGTCTCCCACCCCATCACTCGCGCCCGCCGCCTGTGACGGCCTGAGACCGCACACGACCGGCTCGGGGCGGCCCGCCCAGCTCGCAGCGGTCGGTCGGAGCAGACGCCGGCGGCGGCTGGACCGGGAGCGCGGCCAGCGCGGCCAGCGCCGCGGCCGGTGTCCGCCGTCCCCTCACTCACCTGAGCAGGTACACCACCGCCTCGTAGGTGGACATCATGATGGCCGTGTTGGGGATCTGGCGGACGAGCTGGGTGCCGAGGCCGCGGTACAGGCCGCGGTGGCCTTCCTCGCACCACACCACGTACAGCGTCTGGAAGAAGCCGCGGTACTTGGTGCCCTCCTCGCGCAGCCGGGTGCGCGCCACCTCTGCAACGGAGAGGCGGCGCCCGTCAGCCCCAGGTCAGGTCACACCCGGCACGGCCAGTTGGGAAGGGGGACGGGAGGCGGGTGAGTCGCAGCTACATTCGGTCAGTCACCTTGGCAGTGGGGGACGAGTGGGCGTCGGCCATGAGTCATACGGCATTCGCCTGTATACCTGACGCCCCCGCCGCCCCACATATGCTGAACTATTGCCGTCGCAACGAGTGCCTCACAAAACCGGTTCTGAACAGGGTTTGCTATTCCACGTGGCTGGCAGCCAGCCACAAGGTAAGCGGCAAACAGCCAGCCGTGCGCCCTCTGGTAGACGCGTCGCCTTTCGAAGCCTTCCCAAAAACAACATGGCAGGAGGTCAGCGAACGGCGGCAGACTTTACACACGCCGCGTAGCTCGACGCATGGTATATCATCAGCACAACACTCGATGCGCTGCCGCTGTCAAACCGGCCGACAGCGCTCAATACCAGCAGAACGTTCGGCCAGCTCGGCGGTAATATTCTCGGGCTGGTTCCGTGACGACCGAAAGGTATACACAAGCCCGCCGTCCTTCAGAGTGTATGCCAATGCATGCGTACCCCCATCTCCAGACAGATTCGCCTACGATTGTGACACATCTCTACACTGCATCCCAAGCCGCGGCGCTCCAAGCGAGCCGAGCAGCTTTGTATTATGCATGCGGTGCCGAGGACCATGCCGCTATCGATGTCACAAACCACCGCCCGCCAGCTCAGGCGTCCGCGTCACTGTCGGCCGCAGGCGGCTCACCCCGGAGGTCGCTGAAGATGGCGGATTTTCAACGCGAGCTCATGAACCTGATGCCATAGCATGCGTCACAAACGGCTCAGCCCCCAGGATGTAGAATTGCATCAGTCCCCGACAGTTCGTGTCGACGAGAAGAGGGTTTTCTGTCCACTGCCTCTCCCAAGAAGTGTACCGTTGCATCAGACTGCTGGGGTTGCATGTCGACGCAAGCTAATGTTTGTTTTGATTATCCTGGTGCCGATTTCCCCAGCTATAGATCGGTGAAAAAATCTATATCAAACGAGTCCACGCCCAAACAGCCTCATTTTTAGTTGGGAGCATAAACAGGTCGACAGGTGCTGGCCATTCACGAAGAAGTGCGAGGTTATATAAACGGGAGCCAGCGCAGCCGTCGGCCACGAAGGCCGGCCGGCGACAGCTGGCAGCACATGTGTGCCCCGGGCGTATCAGATAATCCGACGGTCAGCCCGGCCACGTGACCCACCCAGTCTGCCCCACCCCTGCCCCATCCCTCAGATGTCCATTTCGCCCATCCTTTGTCAGTTACTACACACAGACTACGGGGACGCTGCAAAGCCAGTCTAACGCGAAATCAGGCAATAAGATATGATGCATTCTCTTAATCGCACATCGAACGAAAATCGTGCGGATTCCCGGCAATGAACGGATTCTGTAGAGCACACATTTAGCGGGCCCGAGCGGCCGCCTCACAATGTGAGCAGGGCACTGGGCTGCGGCCCGGCGCGTCACGTTGTTGTCCGTCCGGGGAATCCGTCACGGGACGTGACGGCAGCGCGCCGGCCCGCGGGGCGACCCCGTGATTTTCCATCACTCATACGCCCCGACACGTGTGACCGCAACGACCCGCGCAGTATGTCTGATTCACCAGCCTGGTGACGGCAGTGCGCAGAAGGCCTGCGCTTTTCCGTCACCCCAGGACAAAACAGCTGGAGACAAACACACTTTGCAGCGGCTCTGAGGCCGGCGACTGAAATGGCGGCATGAAAAACGGCAGGGCGTAAACCACGCCCACCCGGGTTCAAACCGCCATAGCTGTTTTCACCGAACTACACACCGCGACAGCTGTTTTCACTAAACCATTTGCGTTGATCAGGACCAACTCAAACAGACCGCAACCGTGGGTTCAAAAGGGTCCAGTTGCTCGAGAATAAACCCGTTCAGACCGCATGCATGAATTGGCATGGGTTCAGCTGCTCGAATCAGGACCGATTGTCGGAGCATTTACAGTGTGGGGCCTAGCGCACCGTTCCCGTTTTCCTTGTACACAAAGTTCGACTAGCACAAACGCCAGCCTGGAATGAGTCCGCTCGGGCGCCCGGACACTGCTTCCGCACCCGGCCGCGTCCGGCCGGCTGAGCTAGTAGACGACAGAGATAACCCATTTCGGTAGGGTGCACCGCTG